TGTGTGTGTGTGTGTGTGTGTATTTATGTGTATATGTGGGGCGCGTGAGCACTCGCATTTTATATTAAATCAAGGTGGTCCGTCGCGCGGTGGCAGGAAAGCCGGAAAAAAATGACGAATCGTATCCCGTATTCCGGATATTAAAGAACGGGGCTTCATCGCAGCCCCGGCAGTTTTATAATAAAATAACAGGCACAGGGGACATTTATTAAGGAAGTTGTACGCCGTCTCTCTCGCGACGCTGCGAGGCATTCGTGTGAAAAAAGCACGATACGGATAAGCAAGCTCGATAGATTTTTATACTGGTTGTTCCATCACCATAACTTTGTGTTTATATTTTAAATATATAAATAAATATCGAAAATTCGTAAATAAAATGTTGATATTTAAACATGATATTTATGGCAATGGAATATAATTTAATCAAGAAAAGCCAAGAAAAGCAAAGAAAAGTTGAAAAAAATTCCGTCGACGCTCATGGTTGCGTTTTATTTCTCCCTTTCTGCCACCTGCACTTATCCCTCCCCTGTGCTTATCCCTTGTCCACCGTAAAGGCGGCAATCAAAAGTGCATTTTCACTTAACCCGTTGCGCTGAAAGTTCCAAGCCGGCGCTTTGAAGCGGCTTCGCGTTTCTTCATATATATATTTCGTCGTATATTGACGTCTTTCATTAAAATTTATAGAGCTTGACTCTTAGATTCTTTCATATGTCGAATATTGAATTAAAAAGAACTCCATTGCTTAGCCTCTCCAATTATGTACAATTTGCTGTGAAAAAGATCGGACTTGCAATATATGATTTGAATAATTTAATACTGACTAAAAAAATTGATTCTCTCGAAAAAGAAATCACAATAAATTGTGGATTTTTCTGACATCCTTAATAATCGTTTGTCCTTTCAATTTTTATTATTTTTCTACTTTAAAAATATTATCAGCTGTTGACCGATATATTCTCTCGAATTCGTTCTACAATATTTTCTTTAGATGCGAAAATAATATGCTAATTTTCGCTTAAAATAAAATTTTGAAAACAATTGTTGGATCGCTGAGAGAAACGGCACTATTATTCGAATAAACATTTGATTCGTCTTGTTCGCGAACAAGAATGTGTCAAGAAATTAATACCTTGTTTATAAACGTCATAGCTGTCGTCGTCGTTTGCAACCACCTGTTTACCTGACGTTATCGTCATCATCCTCTTCCTCTCGAGTTCCGTCGAAGCGTTCGCCACAGATTCTCTGTTCTCCTCTCTCTCTCTTTCTCTCTCTTTCCTATAAATACACGGTATATTCCATGGATTACACACTATTCTCGCAGAATATTCTCGGTGATTCAAATATCGCTAGAGCATGCTCGGGAAAGAGAGGCACGATGCATATCGCGCGCATCTTCTTCACCAGCTTCTCTCGCGGCTCCTTTGATCTTCTCTCCCTCTTGGAATGATGTCATCCGGACGCCGTGTATCTCGTAAAAGGAGATCGCGATCTTCCTGGGTCGCGCGTACGGGCTTTGTCGTTTATTCATCGGAAACGTCGCGCGTCTCGAGCGATTCGTCGTAAATTTTTGAACGAAATGTTTGTAAGAGGGTTGCGGATCCAAACAGCAATGTTGCTGCAACGAATGCTCTTCCATTTTTCGAAATTTTCTATTTTAGAATGACGTAAACGGACTCATTCAGAAAAATGATGTATAGAAATATGAATTATAAAATTCGATATTTTTTACTCTTTTACATACGTTCTTACAGCATTTTCTTTATTTGTTGCAATTTAATTCGATGCGTTTTTTCATTATTGTCGATTTTTTAAATTCTGTTTGCACATTAGATTCTAAAAAATTATTTTAACATAGCACACAAAACTAATTGCAGAGTTCAGCGCATATTCATCGGAAACGTCGCGCGTCTCGAGCGATTCGTCGTAAATTTTTGAACGAAATGTTTGTAAGAGGGTTGCGGATCCAAACAGCAATGTTGCTGCAACGAATGCTCTTCCATTTTTCGAAATTTTCTATTTTAGAATGACGTAAACGGACTCATTCAGAAAAATGATGTATAGAAATATGAATTATAAAATTCGATATTTTTTACTCTTTTACATACGTTCTTACAGCATTTTCTTTATTTGTTGCAATTTAATTCGATGCGTTTTTTCATTATTGTCGATTTTTAAAATTCTGTTTGCATTAGATTCTAAAAAATTATTTTAACATAGCACACAAAACTAATTGCAGAGTTCAGCGCATCTAAAATCTTTATAAAATTGAGAAATAAATTTATCAAATTTGAAAAAGAAATATAAATTGAGTACATACAAAAATCTAGATAAATCATAAGAATTCAAGAAAATTGATATATAAATTGAGAAAATTATATATATATATTAACTAATTTAAATCCAAAAAGAGAGAGAAAATGTACTAGAATACTATTGCGTCGGACAATCTTTAGTTTTAAGTGCCATAATTTAATTTGTTTCGCTTGTTTCTCCTTTGATATTTCAATTACGGTTATTACTCTTCAAAGTAGTTTTCAACAATATCGCTAAATTTCACAAAAACACGAAAATGCTGCTACTCCAATTATCCTTGTCTAGTTTAATAATTTGCTTAAGCAAAATATTTCGCTGAAAGCGTTTCGTCCGCTCGCGTAAATACAAATACGTACTTTTACGCGGCTTTTCTCTGATCTGCCTGTGTTATACATGTGTTTGCAGAAACAAACGGCCTGAGGATGTTGCAACTGATAGTGCCCAAGCACGTGGTGCTCGGGCAAAATATACGCCTCGAGTGCAACTTTAATCTGGACGACGAGAAGCTGTACTCGGTCAAGTGGTACAAGGACGGCAACGAGTTCTACCGATACGTGCCCCAGGAACAACCACCTGCTATGGCGTTCAACCTTCCCGGTGTTACGGCGATCGTAAGGATATAATACTTCTTCTCGTCTCTCGTGCTTAAGTTTCGATAATGAAATCGCTGAGAGGAGGTGAAGTAAGTCCGTAACTTGTAGGGTCTATGTTTCGAGAGAGAAGATAGCTTTAATAATATTAAAATGGATCTTACAAACGAAGACTTTCCTCCTCGACTCTCGCACTTTGCGGTAACGAGACTGAAGAGCCCAGTTGCAACAACTACGTAAATTTCACTAGTTTGTATAAGTTCTACTTTGCGGTCGCACCTTCCCGTTTACACAGTCACGACACTTTCCTCGTTCTCGCGCCAAATCTTTATACAGCTCCCGCGTTTTCTCGCCCGACGTGTGGACGACGATCCGATCCTAACGGATTTTACATTGCGTCTTAAACGCGAACGGATGTGATTGAAGAATTCCGAGAAAGATTCTGTAAACTACTCGATGTTTTCATTTTCGTTCGAAACCTCGAGTTCTGGGCGTTTCGGATAAAGGAGTTTCCGTGGGAATAACACCACGATTGATCTATTTTCATTCACGTACGAATTGGAGATTTTTAGACGCGCGTTTCTCGAGATCACGAGGACAGCCAAAATCCAAGATTTTCGACAGAGCGGCGGAACCATATCTCGTCTCTACCACCTAATTTGTGTCTTTTAAAAATAAATCGCGCGTTGTGCTCGCTCGGATGTTTTTTCAATTGGAAAACAAATAGGAAGGCAAAATGCGTGGACTAGCTCGAGAATACATCCGAGCTATCGACAACTGAAATTCGATACGCGTGTACACGTAACACTGCGATGGAGACGGTAATAAAAATAAATGTGGGCTTGAGAGTAATAGAGAGTAAAAGAGAGAGAGAGAGAGAGATCGATAAGCATTTTCAAAATTCTATTCCGAAATTTTCACGAGAAAACTACCTATGCGTACCGAGCCGGTATACGTATTCACGAAAAAAATTCATCCTTCCGTATCTAAATAAATCGGTATCGTATAGCATGCAGAGAGAAAAGCGAAATTTCCATTTTCGGTACTCGTGATGAAAATGGCTTTTCATTCATGTCAAGACGTCGGATTAATGCCTGCATTAACGCGCGCAAGCGGCGGATAAACAAAGGCGGGGGCGTCCGCGCGATCTCTTCTCTCATAATGAGCCTTAATATTAACATTAATCACCGGTCGCGCGAAATTGGCGCTCGGGAGAGCGCCCTTAGAAATTATCGGTCTCTACCCGTGGCGGTCGTTATCGTTGTTTATAATTACATCGATTAGTATAATGAATCGTGAAATGCTCCTCCCGCTCGCGGAGATGAAAATTGCGAGGATGCCGACGACGAGATGACCCCCGGGCTCCGCGTTCTTCGAGGAAACTAATTTAACATGAGGTAGGAAGGAGGGAAGGGTAGGGTACGTTGTTCGTTAAGCTCGCGTCGCGGGCGCGTCTGAAATTGCCTTTCTTCGTCTTCGTCGTCATCGTCGTTGTCGACGTCGCCGCAAAAGATAACGCATTACAAATTGATCCCTAGGGGGAGACTCGCGCCACCCCCTCCCTAACCGAGCCCCGCGTCCTCCCTCTTCTGGGTTAATGATATTTCCAATAATTTCAATTCCTCGTCGACTATATCATTCGCTTGGTTTTCCGCGCCATTGAGTGATACGAAAAAATTCCGGTTCTCTCGGCGACGCGAAAACTTTCGGAGAAGAACGCGAGTTCTCGTGGAGGTGTATAGGAATGGGCGATGATAATTTACTGGACTATTGGTGGAGAAATTTCGACGGAAATTGTTGGAGAGCTCGCGTTTCGCGCGAGAGACGAATATACGAGTATATCATTGATTTCATTCATTCATCCGTCGAGATTTACAGAGGCCAAATGAAAATTCTAGATTCAATTCAATCGATTTCGGGAATTTAATTTTGCAAATGCGAAATTTTTATCGTACGCGATGTATCAATGAGATGAAATATAATTAAGAAATTGCTTTTCTTATTTTCTATTCTACATCTTCCGATTGATAAAATCAATTTTCATTGAAATTTAATTCTCCCGTTTTTTTCAGATTCACAATTCCACTAAACGGACGGTCATCCTTTCTTCCGTGAATCTCATGAGCACGGGACGTTACAGATGCGAGGTCTCGGCGGAGGCGCCGTCCTTCCAGACCGTTTCCGACCATTCGGATATGGAAGTGGTCGGTAAGGAGCATCAAAGCAGATTTGTATTAATTAAGAGTTTTATCTTTCAAAGAAATCGCGCGCAATAACGGCAATCCAGCCTTCGCAAACTTGGCGATATTGTTGTTACGTCGTTGATTTATACCCGTGAGACCCTTCGCTGCTCTTCTTCTTGGCCGATTCTCATTATCCGAGCGAATGTTGTTGTTATCGCGACCGCAACAGAGGAAAAAAAAAAGAAAAAAAAATCATGTTGACTAATCGTAATTTTATGCATGTCCAAAGTAAAATCAAATCTTAAGGAAAGATTTATCTCCGTGAAATGTGACTCGGGACGGTTTAATTCTGAGACAAAGATTTATATACGTGTCATTTAACGAAAGGATTTCGGTTTCGTGCTCAAGAAGAGGAGAAGAGATTTTCCGCCGAGGATTAGGAATTTTAACGGCCTCGAGGATTTTATAAGCCACTTAACGCGCGGGGAATTAAAACGAATCGCAGTTCCGATAGCTCCGAAAGAGTTAATTACGTCGCGTTAGTTTTAATCTACGAGGGAGAACATTATCTGCTCTCTCTCCTCGCATATCGACCTATATGACTTAGTGACGAATCACTGACAATTTATCGTGACAGTAATATCGCGTCTGTGTAACTTTCGATTCTCCTCCCGCCGTTCTAAACGTTTTCCGTTAATCCTATCTTATTATTGTCATGTGCCCCAAAAAATGAAGTATCTTCTTTCAGCGCGGATTCTCATTGAAAAACTCAAAATCGATTCGTTTAATTGCCTCACATAATTTTCTAAATCGCGACATTTAATTTTATCGACATGAAATTCATTAAGCTTCTTTCGTTTTTCCGATCATTTTTAACTCGAGGATTATCAACATTGCTTGCGCAATACTCTTTACAAATTAATTCTTGATTAATATCGTACGAGATATCGATTGAATTTTCAATAACTGTGGAGCCCGAGGAAGTTTTAAGTCTAAATAAAATATACCGCTGTGTTTTTTTTTCCCCAATCTTTTTAATCGACGAGCATTTATTCTCTTTGCCGAGCAATGAGATTTCAATCGCTCGGTTTTTGCACCAGCCGGTTATCGCATATTTTTCTATATCTACATATAATATAATATAGCACGCGCGCGTGTAGCATGTATATATAGTTGAACGTGTCATATATCGACTACACAATGATTACAGCGAAGTGTTACTCCATTAAAATTTCCGCGCCGGTAAGCGTAAACAAGTTTAGCTCGCCGCAACAAAATTACGGTCAAGCGATATTGCGTTAAAATATTCGAGCGGGCGTACGCGAGTTAAAAGCGCTTTCGTCGTCGCTCAAATTGATCGAGAGAGAAGGCACGGAGCGTTCTTTTTCTTCTCACGATGAAAACAAGTTGATACTCACGAGAGCGTTTTCGGTATTTCCAGCACTGCCGGAGCACGGGCCCATCATCACGCCGCCTCCGCGATCCGGGAAACATCGTTATCAAGCCGGCGACGTCATGCGGTTCAATTGCACTTCAACAAAGTCGAAGCCACATGCCATGCTCAGCTGGTTCATCAATGGCGAACCCGTGAGTGCTCCAGACGCGCAGCTTCTTTCTCTCTCTCTCTCTCTACCTGCGTACCACAACATCTTACCCGGGTTGTCGGAAGCGTAACTTCGCGGAGACACGCGTCACTGACGTCCGAGATAAGCTGTGATCTCGGCAAATCCGTCTAGAGTGGTCTATCTAAGGATTCGCACGCGCTTATATGCGGAGTACGGTCGAAAGAAAAATAGAGAGAGTAACAGGAAGAAGTCTTATCTATGAATTCTTCGACCAATTGTATTATTATATATATATAATAGCAAAATATTATTGTAATATATATAACTCGAATTTATCTTAATTTTTCTTAGAGATCAAGATTAAAAAATTTTAATTTCTGAAAAGTAAGAGATTCTCTAATTTCTATTTTTATTCTCCAGAATTAAAACTTTAAATTTCCAACATTGAATATATACATATTGAGGATTAAATTAATATTTGCTGGAGCAAAATCTAAGCAGATTATCTATTAAATTGATTCAAGAGACTGACGCTAATATTAGATATCGTTCAAGTCTTACATCATAAGTGACAAAGTTGAATCTTCGTGTCTATCTTAATAAGGACTTCTTCCTTGTAATATATCATGTTTTACCGCCATCGTGACACATGAGGTTACGTCCGCGAAAGCGCGCTTTACTATACGACGGGGAAAAGTCATAACAGTTTGCTTTCTCTCTCTTGAACACCGTTAAAAGTTTTCCATCACGGCAATAAGCCGCGGTAAATTTTGCTTCTGCGCGAAAATAACTTGTCTCTGCAACAGCGTCCACCGGTGAGCGTTAATGTTCCGTTGACCCGCGATTACGCGCTAACAAAGCTCGCGAGGATTAATTTTGCAAAGTGCACTCTTTGGCGTGTAACTTTTACATTTTTCATACGCGAATAAATAATTGGTCCTTGGATAATTAATCTATGGTTGTTGCGAGCGGACGCTCGCAAAATTGCCTGATTAGTGTTTCAGCGTTCGCATTCACGGCTTATTAAAATTGGATTACGTTTAATCAATATTCGAATCGATAATCTTACGATTAAAAGATAATCTCTCCATTTGTAATATGCGAAGTGACGAATGTGCTGCAAATTACAACCGTTAACGCGTCGAAATTCTCGGTTCATTAAGAGAAATACACATAATTCGCGTCCAACATGAAAAATATTGTGATGCGTGCGAGAAATGAAACATCGAATTATGCTATTATTATAATTGGAATTTATTATACGTTAGAAGGCTTCTTAATTTTTGTTACAAACGTTATAATAAAACGCAATGAGAGAGAGATAGTAATCTTCTGCTATTAAAAGTTTATGTAGTGCTCTCAGGAAGCTCGCGGGTCAAGAGTCAATTTTCCAAGAACGAAGTAGATTAGACAGATAATGCGGTATTTAATTCGCGAAGCACTGACAAAGTTATTACATTTTGTAAAAAGCGAGAAGAAGAAGAATACATTTCAAGAATATTAATCTTTAATTAATCATGGTTTCGCGCATCTAGAAAGTTTCGCTCATTTATTCTCTTGTTAATCCTTTGCGGTCATCAAAATTATTAAGTGGAACATTATCTTTTTTCGATCCAATTTATTTTCGGCTGCTTCTTTGTCTCATTGAATAAAACCATCTGTTTCAAATTTATAAATGATCTCTTCAACGCGTCTACTTTTCCAGAACATATTAGATATGAAAATTTTGGAAAGCTATCAATATATCGTAAAGGATTAAACGGCGAGAGCGAGGACGACGACCTTCGCGTATATTCCGGCGGAGAGAATGTCGTCGTCATCGTCATCGTCATCGTTCAAGCCAACAGAGAATATACACTCCCATTTTCCCGCTCTTCGATTAGGTCGAAGCGCAGTTCTTGAAGCCGCTCTTAACCGACGTAGACCGGGAGGGTCTAGAGACAGCCACGCTCGGTCTCGAGTTCCGTCTGCGCTCGAAACACTTCAAGAAGGGAGACTTGAAGATCAAATGCCTGGCGACGATATATACCCTATATTGGAAATCGAATGAGCTCAGCATAGAGGGCGAGAGGATGAAGATACCGGTAATGGAGAGTAGGGAGACAAGGGCGCAAGGGCACACGCACGCCGAGCATATCCTAGGTAAGAGAAAAAAAAAAAAGAGAAATCTCTTCCAGCCAGCTCTTGACTATGGATAGATGACGTAGCATGCAGGGCGAGACGTCTACCCTACCGCACGGATTTCTTTATCGTGTCTTTCAAGTTAGTTGCCCCTTATTAACCTTATGTGTATATATAGGAAACTACCAATAGAGAAAAACTTTCTCAGAGATTAAATATACTACTAAATTATATCGAGAAAAATAAATAATTTATATTTGGATATAAATATCTATTTTGACGTTTATGAACGATAAGGGAATAGAAAGATGAGAGAAATGAAAACTGATAAATAAAATTAAATAACAGTAATAATAAAGTAATAAAAGCAAACAACAGGGTTTACTTTACTAAAGTTTACTCGAATAATACACACATTTTTTAAAACGATATAATCGGATATTGACTCTCCGAATGACATTTTATTTACATCAATCAGAACGATTGAGACGAGGGTCTATCTCGCGAAGAATCATTACCCGTCTCTGTTATAAAGGGGGATAAGAATCGCCTTTCAAGCCGCAAGAAAAACTGACGTTTTTCACGGTTCACGTCGTTAATATTGATTACAAGTCTGCAAAAAATATAGGCTTTGTGGCCGTGTGAGAAGGGCTTAGCAGTCGAAATAATGGATCCAGCCCTTTCGGTGTTAACATCTCCAACTCGAAGCTCGTCCTGACGCGCGGATAGTTTAGCAACTCAACATCGTAT